GCAGGAAACTTAGTTGGATTTGAAGTTAGGAAGGCCTTAAGTCCAGCGTCAAAATGGTACGTTTTCTCCCTGGACGTTGGAAGTACGTATTGACGCTGGACGCTGACTAAAAAGGAATGGGCTGCCCGAAATCGAAAAAAAAAAAAACAAAGGGTAAAAATTCCACGAGAAGAGCGATAGAGGGGAAGAGTAGGGGAAGGACAGGGGGTGCAGAATTAGGGGAGAGAGGAGGGGCATGGGGGAGAGAGAGAAGAGGCGTAAGAGAGATGAAAGAGAAGGGGGAAGTTGTGAAGAGTGAGAAGGGAGATGAGCCAGTGGGAAGAAGGAGAGGGGAAAAAGGGGAGAGGGGGAAGGAGGAGGAGGAACATGTTACAGTTGAGGCTGGAAAGAGCAGGGCAGCGCCTCCCTTACCCCCCCTCCCCCCTCCTCCCATCTCCCCGTAAAGAAAAGCAAGCTTGTCAATTCAAGCGAGATTCTTACAGTCTCATAAGAGAAGTGAGCGAGGAGATGCTATCAGGAATAGACCCTCCAAGAGTTGTGGGCTCCACATATCCCGAATTTGGGTCGGATGGGTCAGCGTGATAAAAATATCCATTCGGGTCGGTGGGATCGAAATAATCTCCCGAAGATGCGGCTTTGCACAAAGTTCTATGTGGGTGGGTGAGTGGATTAAAAGAAGAGAGAAGAAAACTGCATGGGGACGCAAGTGACGCGAGGACTGGAAACAAGTGGTATCAAGCCTGATAATCCTGTTGGAGATCAGTGGCATGGTATGAGATTCAAAGAAAAGCAGACACGCACTCACATAATGGTGATCATGCCTGAACTGTCACACATGAGACCTTCAGCATTGAAACAGTCAGCACCAACTTCCCAGTTTACAAACGTGTGATTCCAGGCCTTTTGACTGTCTCTGAGAAATACCGCTGGCAGGGGACAAGCAAGGAGAGAGACGAAAGGAGGTAAGGTAATGAGCAGGTACAAGCACCCAGCAGGTGCATTACTACTGAGATGTACAAAAACTGCTGAGATGTACAAATACTGCTGAGATGTACAAATACTGCTTGCACATATTATGGATAAACAAGAAGCGTCCTTCTGATGATGTGAGGCAGATCTAGCAGCTGTGAGGCTTGAAGAGCAAGTGAGGCAAGAAATTCAATGCATTGCAGCCAGTGCAAACAACATCATGCATACTCAGTGCTGTCTCCTGTGAACTGAGATACGTGCTACTAGTACGGGGAGTTGAGGAACTTGAGATGTAACGCCTTACACGTAAGGCGTATGAGAGCATCCACTGCGCTTCAAACACAACCCTCGTTTTGACCCAGTGGGTAGCGAGGTGTTACATTTGGTCTCTAAACCTGGGTTCGGTTCCCGGCTGGGTCACATTTGAATGTGCCAGTCGCGAATCCAGTAAACGATCCGTCGCTGGCCAACTCCCTGCCCAACGAGGACGTTGGCTCCAGGGGGGGACGAGTGTGACGCCTGTGGGGCTTACACGTAAGGGTGTGAGAGCATCCACTGCGCCTCAAATACAACCCTCGTTTTGACCCAGTGGGTAGCGAGGTGTTACATGAGAAGCATTTGACGGTATCACCGCTGATAAATTTTTGTAGTACTACTTCTAGTAGCATCAGCGAGAGCACCCGTGAGACGAACTGAGGGTGCACGGAGTGACTACCTTGAGAAGCGTTGATTGGCTGTGCATCACACGGCGGGAAGACGAACGCGGCAGCCCAAAGCACGGCGGCGAGCGCAAGCCATGCTCGTGGCTGCATCAGAGTCGGGTTTGGCGGCGGCATTTGCGGCGTCGACGTGCCTCCACGCTCTCTCAGGGATATGTTACACACGAATTAATATTGATGGAAACGGTAACTTCTACTAAATATCACGGGAAACAGGTAAAATGCGGAGCGGGTTGAGAAAGTGAGTTGTCATCAAGAATATGCAGTGGTTGCCACTGACGAATGCGGGAAAGAGGTCTCGGAGTAGGAAGAAAAGGGGCGGGCCCGTCGCTGCGCTCGCAACTCATTTTTGCATTCCCTACGAACCTCGAAACAATGCAACAGATTCAGACAAATGGGGGCGCTCAGCCTGAGCGCGTGCAATCAAAATGTGCGATCATGATTAAAATAGTCCTGAGGAAAAAACATGCGAACCTACCATGCTTCCAGCATGGAAACTCTTGACTTGAGGGAGGGATGTGTAATTTGCTACGGTAGCAATGTCAAGGAATCCAGCACGGATTTTGATACTTCGGCACAATGGGGCAACTCAGCTCCATAGCAAGACTACGTCAGCTTGGTACCCTGCCTCTCTTTGCTGACTAGGTTTAGAAAGGGGGAGGGAGAGGAGGGGGGAGGGGAACAGGTTATTGGCAAATTTGGTCAAGGTTGGAAACTGGACCGCCGATGAAAACTGCTGGGAACGGTGCAGATTATCTGCCTCAGATTTGGGCTCCAGGCTGAATTGACAAATAAAAAAAAAAACCCGCTGTACGGTCAAGATTGATCGGAAAGCAGTTACAGCGAGATTGAAGGCTGACATTTCAGTCGTCGACCCTTCAGAAAGCTACGATCAGAAGTAAAGGCTTGGTTGGAACTTCAGCCGTCGATGTCCGAGATATCGAGATATCCAGATCCTTTTCCTTTCACAACTAAGGGTTTTTGAACCACTCTGGTTTCAGGCGAGGCAGAGCCTTACCCCAAAATATCCCAGCCCAAGCACCTAATGTGCTATGTGCGGTCTATTCAGCTAGCGCCTAGCCGTTTGGACGACTCACTAGTCCCCGTGCGACGCTACCCGTATGCAACGCGATCCATCAGCGACGCGACTTGTGCGCATCGCGACCCGCATGCGACGCTACCATTGGATTGCGCTGCTTCCAAGAGTCCATCCGCACCGTTGGATGATGCCGCCTGATTCCAAGGATTGACCCGCGCCGTTAGATGGGTCGCACATTTACGAGCAGTAATGGTGCAAAACGGAATCGCGGAACCGGAGTTTCGACATAATTAACTGGGAGGGAGAGGGGAAGGAAATACGCGTTAGAGGAGATTCGTTATGCTGCGTTTACGGCTGATGGCAAGGGAATACGCATAATTATAAGAAGGGGAGGCGGAAGTGGGGCAATAAACGGCGGAGGGCGAGGCGAAGTCATGGGGCCGACGCGCGGAAAAGAGCTTGGGGAGTGGAGGGCACGGGGAGCACGAATGCGGAAGACGGGGGGGAAGCGGAGGAGGGAGGGGGAAGGGGCGCGGAGAGAGAGGAGGAGGATACGCGCGAGAAGGTCGTCGGGTAGTGTGTGGATCGTTGGAAGGCGGTCGACGTCTGGCGAGTCCGGAACAGCGACGCGGACTGATTAGCGGATCCACGTTTAGACTTGCCGTTGCTTGGCGAAGTCCATGGTTGCACTCCGACAGAAAAGAGTGATGCGGTGATTGTTACTACGACGACCTTAAAGAGAGTTGACTTTTGAGTCGACTCAAATGACGAGCCATTGCTTGGTGAATCCATGGTTGCATTACGACAGAAAAGAGTGACGCCGTGATTGTACTTCGACGACCGTAAAGGGAGCGACTGGAGGTATTCCCCTGTTCCCCTCTGCCGTTCGCCTCTGCCGTTCGTCTCTGCTGTTCGCCTGTGCTGTTGGCGCCTGCGCGATGCATGTGACTCTATTGTCTGCATCTCCTGGAGCCCAACGCCATGCGCTCGCTGCCGTTCACTCCCCATGGCCACGCGCTGCTGCCTCCCTCCGCGGACTCACTCAGGCTCAACGTGACCCCTTCACACGCCGCCCGCTGCCCGCATTGCGATTGCGCTGCTGCTGTGCGGACGCGGGCTATAAGGCATCGGTGCCAAGCCTTTGAGCCCCGAATGCTGTGGATGGAGAGGGGAGGAGGAGGGGAAGGAGAAGGCGGAACGGGAACGAGAGGAGGGAGATGGAGACGAGGAGGCGAAGAGCGTGGAGGAGTGGAGCAGTACGGCCAAGTCTAGTGGAGGATGGAGACAAGGAGCCAGATATGAGCTGCTGCCGCGTTGTCTTTTAGCAGAAGCAGGGAGGACAAGGGAGTGGGAGGAATGGGAGTAGGAGGGGGAGTAGGAGGAGCAGGAGGGGCGGGGGGTTGATACCAGCTGGTGAGATTGGAGGGGTGGGGAGCAGGAGGCAGGGTAGAGGCATTGGCTTGCGTCCTCTGTCCCCACGCTCTTAGGCTCCACAAGTGCAGTCAGCACAGGTGCACGTGCCACAAGTGCCAGCAGTGCAAGGCAGAGCAGCAGCATCAAAGGCGGTAGCAGCACAACAACGGGCAGCAAGGGCAGCATCAGGGAGCGTTCTGCAGTGATCGATGAAAGTGAATGTGGACGAATTCGCACAGGTGAGAGGAGAGAGGACGGGGAGATAGGAGGCGAGGAGAGGAGAGGAGTGGAGTGCCAGGATTAAGGGAGTAACAAAGTTGATGCACCTAGAGATTGTCTCCAGTGGTCCAGGGGGAATGGAACAACGAAATTGATTTAATATTACAAGTGCCCGTGTTGGTCCGCATTGGTCTGTAGAATAGTCCGCATTGGTCTATGAAAGTGAACGTGCATGAGTTTGCATGAGTGAAAGGGAGTGCAAGTGGGGAGTTTAGGTGCAGTGAGGAGAGGAGTGGGAGGGGATAGACACACATGCGGCACGTGCAGCACATGCAGCACGCATGCAGCGCGCATGCAGCACATGCTGTACATGCAGCGGACATGCAGCGCGCATGCAGCATATGCTGCAGTGACCAACGCACTTACCCTTACCTTGTCCCGCTCAACCCCTTCCCTCCTCCCTCCTCCCTCCCCTTCTCCCAGCCCTCATTACCATCGAAGCTGCAGGAGCAGCAAGACGAGGAGGAGGAAGACGAGATGGTGGTGATGGAGAGTGTGAACGGGCGCCACATGGCCATTCTCCACATGCTGCAGGGCGCAAATACCCCTTGCCCCCCTGGCCCCCTGGCCCGCAGCACAAGATGGTGGTGATAGAGAGTGTCAACGGGCGCCACACGGCCATGCAGCACATGCTGCAGGGCGCGCATACCCCTTGCCCCCCTGGCCCGCATTTGCTTTGCTCTCTTTCCCAGCCCTCATTACCATCGAAGCAGCAAGGGGTAGATGAGGAGGGGGGAGACGAGGAGGACGACGAGATGGTGGTCATGGAGAGTGTGAACGGGCGGCACACGGCCATGCAGCACATGCTGCAGGGCGCGCATACCCCTTGCCCCCCTGGCCCGCATTTGCTTTGCTCTCTTTCCCAGCCCTCATTACCATCGAAGCAGCAAGGGGTAGATGAGGTGGGGGGAGACGAGGAGGACGACGAGATGGTGGTCATGGAGAGTGTCAATGGGCGGCACACGACCATGCAGCACATGCTGCAGGGCGCGCATACCCCTTGCCCCCCTGGCCCGCATTTGCTTTGCTCTCTTTCCCAGCCCTCATTACCATCGAAGCAGCAAGGGGTAGATGAGGTGGGGGGAGACGAGGAGGACGACGAGATGGTGGTCATGGAGAGTGTGAACGGGCGGCACACGGCCATGCAGCACATGCTGCAGGGCGCGCATACCCCTTGCCCCCCTGGCCCGCATTTGCTTTGCTCTCTTTCCCAGCCCTCATTACCATCGAAGCAGCAAGGGGTAGATGAGGTGGGGGGAGACGAGGAGGACGACGAGATGGTGGTCATGGAGAGTGTCAATGGGCGGCACACGGCCATGCAGCACATGCTGCAGGGCGCGCATACCCCTTGCCCCCCTGGCCCGCATTTGCTTTGCTCTCTTTCCCAGCCCTCATTACCATCGAAGCAGCAAGGGGTAGATGAGGTGGGGGGAGACGAGGAGGACGACGAGATGGTGGTCATGGAGAGTGTGAACGGGCGGCACACGGCCATGCAGCACATGCTGCAGGGCGCGCATACCCCTTGCCCCCCTGGCCCGCATTTGCTTTGCTCTCTTTCCCAGCCCTCATTACCATCGAAGCAGCAAGGGGTAGATGAGGTGGGGGGAGACGAGGAGGACGACGAGATGGTGGTCATGGAGAGTGTGAACGGGCGGCACATGGCCATGCAGCACATGCTGCAGGGGCGCCTCTCTGCAGTGCGCCACGTGGTGACGCTGTGGGTGGATGGAGCGTTGCTGCTCGCCCTCTCTGCCCTCGCTGCTTCAAAAGACCTCGCTGTGAGTGCGGGACCATTTGTTGAATGAGAGCATGGGAGCACACGGCCTTGCAGCACATGCTGCAGGGGCGGCGCTCTGCAGCGTGGCTTCACTGTAGGTGGAAGGAAGGAGCACACCTGCCTGCCCTCTCTACCCTCGCTGCCCTAAGCACAAGCACCTCGCACTGAGACCACGAGGGCCTTGCAATGCTTCACATGCTGCAGGGGAGGCATGGCGCTCTGTAGTGCAGCACGTGGCAGCGTTGTTGGTGGAAGGAGCACACCTGCCCACACTCTCCGCCCTCTCCGCCCTCTCCGCCCTCTCCACCCTCGCCGCCTCGAAGGACCTTGCTCTGAGTGCACCCACAGACCGTTGATTTTTTTCTCATCATAAGAACCTCTGATTCCCTTCGTTGTCCCTTCCTCCGGTTCCAGTATCCTTCCTTACTGGCCCCATACTTCAGTGGTGGCAGACGTGTAAAAAGTGCTGGCCATACAGGGAGACCCGCTGCTGCCCTCAGCACCCGGTGCCGCCCCCTCAGCACCCAGTGCTGCTGTTGAGGGCTGTAGCCAATGCTCTCCTTGCTGTGTTCTTTTCCAATCCCTTCCGAATTGTGCTGTACTGATGAAGGCGTGATTGGGTTCGCCCATCCGCCGAAACTAGTTTACGCCCATCCCCCACACCTCAGGCGGTGGCAGACGTGCAAGAGGTGCTGGCAATGCAGGCAGGCAGGCGCCTGGTGTTGGTGGGCATGGAAGGAGCATTGTAGCTGTGAAGGGTGTACCCGTCTCTTTTCCCTCATTCCCCCATGTGCTTCAGGTGGTGGCAGACGTGGTGGAGGTGCTGGCCATGCAGGAAGGCAGGCGGCTGGCGTGTCTAATCTGGGGATGAAAGGAGCCTTGCAGCTGCTGAGTCCCTTCTCATTCCCTTATCTTCCCTTCGTTGTCCCTCCCTATCCCCATACCTCAGGTGGTGGCAGACGTGGTGGAGGTGCTGGCCATGCAGGGAGGCAGGCAAGAGGTATCAGTGGGCTCCACTCACTGCCCTCCCGGCTTTCATTCCCTTTCTGTTTCCTGATTCGCCTGTGCCTCAGGTGGTGGCAGACGTCCTTGAGGTGCTGGCCATGCAGGGAGGCAGGCGGCTGGTCTCAGTGGGCATGGAGGGGGCCTTGCAGTTGCAGCCGCTGCTGAGGGCTCTGCTCTGCTGTGCTGTGTCTTCTGGAACGTTTCTGAGTGGTGCTGAGCAGTGCTGTCGAGAGGTCAAGTCTTGCCTTGCTTTCCCAGGCCTCTGCCACCGTCTGTTGTAATGTGAAGCAGAGTCCACACTACAAGCGAAGGGCATGTTTTGACGCAATCTTTCTTTCTTTCACCCAGTGCAGTGCCAATTACACCCTTTTTCCTTTCCCCCTCCCACCGAATGCATTTGACGTGGCACTGTTACTGCTTCACAGTCTCCTGAGTGTCAATTTCTCTTTTTCTGTTTCCTATCCCTTTTCCTCCCGCCTCTCCCCGCCCACAGATACATGGAAATGGCGCTGTCGCTGCTACGTGGTCTGTTGAGGGCGTTCTGTCAGCCATCACTGGCCCCCTTCCTTTCCTCCCTCCATCCTCCCTCTCCTTTCCCCCCCCACAGGTACGTGTGAGTGGCGCTGACCTTGCTACATGAGCTGCTGAGGGCATTCAGTCAGCCCATCACTGTCCCGCCTTCCAACCTCCCACCCATCACTACTCCCTCTCTCCATCCTTCCACCCTCCCTTCCCTCACAGGTACGTGGCCCGTCGGAAAGGAGCTGTCCTTGCTACGTGAGCTGTTGAGGGGTTTCAGTGAGCCCAACAGTGCTGCTCGCACCGGCACACACTCTTCTGGAATTAGGCAATGACGCGGTGTTTAGGGGAGGTGTGAGCTGCTGAGGGCGTTCAGTGGGCCCATCACTGCTGCTCGCATGCCACGCACTCTCCTGGAATTAGGCAATGACACGGTGTTGGGGGGAGGTGTGAGCTGCTGAGGGCGTTCAGTGGGCCCATCACTGCTGCTCGCATGCCACGCACTCTTCTGGAATTAGGCAATGACGCGGTGTGGGGAGAGGTGTGAGCTGCTGAGGGCGTTCAGTGGTCCCATCACTGCTGCTCGCACTACCACTCACTCCCCTTGCTTCATATGTGCATACCGTATGCAGAAGATGCAATGACCGTTCTTACACCCAATCAAACAAGGCAAATTAACACAATGTGAGAGGTGTAAGGGTTGTAAGCTGACACTCCTTTGGAAAAAATAATTGTTTTGGTTTAAGGTAGGCCAGGCCAAGCTGAGATGACAACTGTCCATATTGCTTCAATAATTTTGTATAGCGTATTATCTATAACACCATTTCATACCACCTTGGACCATCCCACACTGACAGTGTCAAAGCAGCGCACGGGCTCGCACCCGCACACCTGAAGAGAGGTGAAGCGGTAGAGAGAGGTGAAGAGAGGTGAAGAATGAGGAATATTACTCGCACCGTCCACCACCCCATGCTGACCGCGCCAAAGCAGCGCACGGGCTCCCACCCCCGCACCTGCAGATTGGAGGGAAGAAGCAAGCGGGGAAATGAAAGCATATGCATGGAGAAATCGTTTGGTAACGATGCACACAAGCAGCATCGCTTATCGGTTGCGTCGGACGCGGATAGTGTCGCACGCGAAAAGCGACGCACGCAGGAGCGGTGACGCCCGCAGGGAGCGTCGCACGAAGAGGGCGTCGCACGAAGAGAGCTTCGCACGCGGATAGCGTCGCCCGCGGATAGCGTCGCACGCGGATAGCGCTGCATGCAGATTGTGACGCGCGCAGAGAGCGTCGCGCGCAGACAGTGTGGCATGCGGATAGCGAATCCGGGAGCTTCGAGTCGTCCAAACGGTTATCCGAATGCCCGTACCATATCCGTTTCGCACCACGTAAACGTGCGACCCATCCAGCGGCGCGGGGCGGCATCATTCAACGGTGCGGATGGACTCTTGGAATCAGGCAGCGCAATCCAATGGTGGCGTCACTCTCAGAATCCCAACCACTAGACCATTGGGATAAAAGGGTTTGTTAAGTAGAGTCAGTACGCCCATAACCCCAACGAGCCTGTAACCCTTTCCTAGGATCAATCGGGGATCTCCAATGGACCTCTGACACCCCCCCGCACTGGAATGTGCACACACTGGGATTCGAACCCAAGATTGCTCTAATTCTATCTAAGAATCCCAACCGCTAGACCATTGGGATAAAATGGCTTGTTAAGTAGCGGGTCAGTGCGCCCATAACCCCCTAGGACAACGAGCATGTAACCCTTCCCTAATCGGGGATCTCCAGTGGACCTCTGACAGTCGCATACGGGTAGCGATGCACACAAGTAGCGTCGCTTATAGGACGCGTCGCATACGGGTAGAGTCGCTTATACGTCGTGTCGCATACGGGTAGCGTCGCTCATAGGTCGAGTCGAATACGGGTAGGGTCGCTTATAGGTCGCGTCCCATACGGGTAGCGTCGCTTATAGGTCGCGTCGCATACGGGTAGCGTCGCACACAGATACTGACATAAGACTTGTGAGTCGTCCTAACGAAATGGCTAGCCAAATGTCTGTCTAGGGTTAGCAAGTCAGGAAAATGAAAACTGGTGAGGTGCTTGGATTCGAATTTGGGGTACAGTCGATGCTCAGTCTATCACAAAACATTTGCTCCGCACAATTAGAAATTTAGTCACTAGCGAATGTTTTGCTCGTGACTGACTAAATTGACCATTGTGCCGATTTCGATGTACAGTCACCAAGTTGAGGAAGAAAAACATATACAGCACATAAACAACAATGGTTGCTCGTCATCAGAGAAGTTAACCTGGTTACGAAATTAAAGCCCCTGACTCGATTCACGTTGCAATTTCATATTACTGTCACATTTCTGCCCGAGGCGACAAGGGCGAATGTGGCGAAATTCCTCAAAAACGTTTCACGCACATGCCGCCCGCCTACCTGGTGTTCTTAAAATGGGCGCCGACTGTACATGGTTCTGCCTGAAATCAGAGTCATTCGAAATCCAGTCAATGATCCTGTTCGATAGCATAAGGAAGGATCTTGGGTATCTCCGTATCTCAAATATCGACGGCTGAATTTCCAACCAAACACACGTCACTCTCGATCTAAGCCATTAACATCTGAAAGATCGACGGTTGAAACGCCAGTTTTCCGATCAAACCTGATCGTACAGCGGATCCCCTCCTCGGTTGTCTTTCCAACCTGGAACCCAAATCTGAGGTATAATCTGCACCGTTCCCAGCAGCTGTCATCGACGGTCCAGTTTCCAACCTGGACCAAATTTGCCAATGATCCAGTCCCTCTCCCCCCTCCTCCCCCAACCCACTTTCTAAACCTAGTCAGCTAAGAGAGGCAGAAAAACCAAGCTGACGCGGTCTTGTCATATAGACTAGTTGCCCCATTATGCCAAGTACACCGTTATTCTCACCCTTCTCACCGGCGGAAGCACTGGCTACAGTGTTTGGACGTAGCGGGCTGGTGCGATAACTCGGTGCGGGCAAAGTCGCACGACGTCACGAAACAAGCCTCGGTCCACCCTAAACCGTTTTAGCTGAATTAACCGTTTAACATACAACAGTACCATTCTAGAACGTATTCAAACTTGACTAAACGCCTTGGGTCAAATTGTCACTGTAACGCATGTGATAGGACCTTCTTTCGTCCGGTGCGGTACACTAAGCGTCTAGGTCAGTATAACATATGCCAGTCTATCTAGAATGAGGGTGTAGCATGTCAGAACATTATAGCTTACTTGTTTGTGTAGGCTATAGTGGGGTATCCCATAGGGGGTACAACCCAGTTAGGGTTTCCTATTTGTACTCACTTCGTTCATAGTCATTTCATTCTCGTTCACTTCTTCTCATGGTATCGAGCAGGTTCCCCTGTGGGAACTGTTCGTAGGGCCCACCACCGCTACCTCTTAACTTTTTTTTTTCTGCTCGGAGCGCGCTCCGGGCCCTAGTACTTCTTTTTTTTCGATCTGCCCTAGTGCCCTGACGGCCGCCCGCTCTAGCGCCCGAACGCCGCCCGCCCTAGCGCCCTGACGGCCGCCCGCCCTAGCGCCCTGACGGCCGCCCGCCCTAGCGCCCGAGCGCCGCCCGCCCTAGCGCCCGAGCGCCGCCCGCCCTAGCGCCCTGACGGCCGCCCGCCCTAGCGCCCGTGCGCCGCTCGCCCTAGCGCCCTGACGGCCGCACGCCCTAGCGCCCTGTCGGCCGCCCGCCCCAAGCGCCCTGACGGCCGCCCGCCCTAGCGCCCGTGCGCCGCTCGCCCTAGCGCCCGAGCGCCGCCCGCCCTTGCGCCCTGACGGCCGCCCGCCCTGACGCCTGAGCGCCGCCCGCCCTAGCGCCCTGACGGCCGCCCGCCCTGACGCCTGAGCGCCGCCCGCCCTAGCGCTCTGACGGCCGCCCGCCCTGACGCCTGAGCGCCGCCCGTCGCCGCCCCAGCGCCCTAGCGCCCGACGCCCGCGAGCCGCCCGTCGCAGCCGCCCGTGAGCTGCCCGAACGCCGCCCGCCGAGCCGCCCGTGCACCCGCCCAGCGTGAGCCGCCCACGACCGCCCAGGCCGCCGTCCCTGAGCCGCCCGCGCCGCCGTCCCTGAGCCGCCTGTGCAGCCGCCAGCGAACCGCCAGCGAGCCGCCCGTCGCGACGCCCGCGCCGCACGAGCCGCCCGTACAGCCGAGCCGCCCCAACCGCCCGTGCAGCAGACCCGCCCGAGCCGCCCGAGCCGCCCGAGCCGACCGCGCCGCCCCAGCAACCCGAGCCGCCCGAGCCGCCCGAGCCGCCCGCGCCGCCCCAGCAACCCGAGTCGCCCGAGCCGCCCGGGCAACCTGAGGAGCCGAGCTCCTGCTCCTGCGGGGCTGCTGCTGCTCCAAGGCGTGCGCAGCTGCTGTTCTGCCGAGTTGCTGCGCCGCTGTGCTACCCGACTCTTCGTGCCCGGTGAGACAATCAGCTGCTGCAATGGCCACCCCCAGTGTCCTGTCTTTTGACGCTGAGGGTCGCGCCATTGACTTTCCAGTCTGGATTGAGGACCTGCAGCTGTACTTACTGTGCGATGCGATCAATGAGGTTTCTCTCTTTGACTTTGTCTCTGGAGCTGTCCCTGCCCCTCCTGCTGATGCTGACCCTGCTGTTCGCTCCAAGTGGGCCACACGCGATGCTGCTGCACGTCTTGCTGTGCGTCGCCACCTCCCTTCCTCCGAGCGTGCCCACTTTAGTCAGTGCAAGACCGCTCAGGCCTTGTACGACGCTGTAGTTGCACGCTACTCCTCCCCTTCCTCCGCTACGCTGAGCCGCCTCATGCTACCGTTTCTCTTCCCTGACCTCGCTGCCTTTCCCACTGTCGCTGACCTCGTTACCCACCTCCGCGCTAGTGACGCTCGCTATCGCGCTGCCCTTCCTGCTGAGTTCCGCGCCGCAAACCCTCCTCCCATGTACATCACTCTCTACTTTCTCGTCACCCGTCTCCCTGAGTCCCTTCGTGTCGTTAGGGACCAGTTTCTCTCTGTCTGTCCCACCACCCTCACTGTCGACCTCCTTGAGGAGTCCCTGCTAGCGGCTGAGAAGAGCATCGTCGCTGTAGGGGCCTCTCGGGGTGACCCTCGCACCCCCATCTTTGAGGGGTGTTCTCCTTCCCCCCTGCTGCCCTCTGTCGCCTCTGCCGCTGCGGCCGACCTCGCTGGTTTTGAGTCGGTCGGTGCGGCGTCTGCCCCCAGCGGTAGACGCCGCTCTGGCAAGGGCAAGGGGGGCAAGGGAGCGGGTGGAGC